GTAACACTGGCAACCCATTTTGAGAAAACCTGGCAAAGATACTTCCATGAGTGTGACAAACAGGAGAGCTGTGGGCACACCAGGACAGGTCTCACACCAGCAATACTCCTGTCCCYCAGTGGGCAGCAAAGGCCTGTGACACTCAGTGATGTAGCCTGCCAGCTCCCAGGCCACTCTAGACCAAGGACAGATGCTGACCAGCCTGCCTTAGAGTGTCTGCAGGACATGCCAGGGCAAGGTGGGCATTGCTCCTAGGGAACCCTTTCGGAGAAAGACACTTTCCTCCCATTGCAGATGGCAACCGCTGTCCTTTCAAGGGGTTTTTGTTGTCCCCATTCGCCTCYGCACTTGGGACCCAGCTCCTGTGGCACTTTCAGCTCCTCCACTCACCCAGCCACAGAGCTGCTGCGCTTTGATGGTGTCAGATAGGAGCACGCAATCAGTGCTGGTCAGCCCACCGACAGAGCCAGCTCTTATTACAGCAGGCATTGATGTGAGCAGCCACAAAAGCAAACAGCTCTTTGGGCTCCTCGTGTGTCCGGAGCTGCGTGCACATCCTGCCCCRGGTTAACTGAAAACATGTGGTCAGGTCCTGCCAGGCTGGCGTGCAGCTACAGCCAGAGCGAGCTCCCAAAGCATCCACAACTTCTGTTTCCTCACCCCTTTGCTTGAAACAAGCCCGCTGAAATCTAGCTCAGGAAATGGTGAGATACCAACATGATTAATGTTCTCGGCATCACTGATGTTYCTTCTGCAGAGCCTTGCTGCTTCAGCTGCATCCCTTGGGCTTGCTGGGTTGAGGTTTACCACGTCAGGGTTACCAGTCCATGGAGGATGCTTGCCCTCGCTTTCCTAACGTTCCTAAATTTCAAAGAATAATTACATGCATAATATACCCATCATAAGACTGCAGCAGTGGTCAAACCAAACTCACTTTGCTCCTATGACACATGAAAACTGGCCTGCCACCCAGTGCAGACCTCACACRCTTCAGAAACCTGAGCCTGGCCTATGCCTCTGTGACCAACCTCTGCAGCAACCATGGATGATTCAGGCTCAGCTGGCTGTGCCAAGGGATATGATGGATGCCAGAGAGCCCTGATAACCCAGAGCTCTCCCAGCAGGCCCCAGCACCCATACTGAGGGCAGAGGGAATCTGTAAGATGCCCATTTGCCATGCACAGAGATCAGCGAGCAGCCCAGATTGCAAGCACTCCCTGAGTGGCAGCTCAGAATGGGGTCACCCCTGGCCTCACCATCAGACACAGGTGGCCCAAGTGACCACTGAGAAGGCCTCCACATGGAGAAATTCTTGGAAGTGTAAAGACAATGAAGATGCATACAAGGCAGCGCTGGCATAGCCGGGTTGGTTGCTGGTGCCTGTGCCAGTTTGGAACTACTTGCCCACCTTGAACCCTGGCCAGAGCAGACCCTGCCACTGAGGAGAGGACAGCACCGACCCCAGAAAATGTCACCACCCTCCTCAACCACAGGTGGCACTTGCGCATGTAGCTTCCTAAGGAGTATTTTTCTATTTTCTTCTTTCTCTCTTTTCAAGTCTGTAGCTGTGTAAATACCGAGCAGCCAYAGCATCCTGTGGCACAGGGTTTCCCAGATCTGCCTTTGCTTGTTTTCTTTGAACCTGCCACCTGCTACTTTTATTTGACATCCCTGAAGTTCTTGTCTGAGAAGCAACAGAATACAATCACACTCTAATTTGTATTGAGGTYGCTTTGTCTTGAGTCAGTGGTGTCCAGGTGCCTGCTTCTTTTTAATTCAACGGTGAAAGCTCCCAAGTGCCTCAAGGGCACAGATCGAGGCATTTGCAATGTTTTCTTCACTTTTCCAATCATTACTGGCGTGATGCACTGCAAAAGTCTGCCAGTTATTACCACTAATGGATGAGACTGCAGAAAAAGGAAAGAAATACTCACCACCCTTGTCCTGGCATATATAACTGAGGTGTAAGCCATCCGTGCATCCCTGCCTGCAGAYCCCTGTGAACTCACGCCCCATTCAYGCCCCTCCTCWGCACARGSTCTCCTGCCCATGYTSCAGATGCACATCCAYCACCACCCATCCTTTCAGAGCCACCCTTGCATGCATGCATGCCCCTTCACCTTCATCCTCCAAGACATCCTTCTGCTTAAAATACAACTAATATGCTGTAAATACAAATGCCACGGGCACATAAATGCCACTGTCAATGCACTCTGTGTCTATACACCCACACTGTATCAGCACATACCCCATTCAATCCTGACTTGATACACACCCTTGAGTGCATTCTTCCACCCCACACCTTGCCACAACATGCTGCACAGCTTCAGGAAGAGCAAGGGAAAGCCCAGAGGTGTTTGAAAGAAACTGTCTGTCCCACTGGAAATTCTGCTTCTCAGTTTTTCCTGTGCCAAGTCACATCGCAGTGACCTCCATCGAGCCTGGGATGAGAACACTGGTCCCAGCAGCGCTGCTGATTTTGYCTATTTTCCTAGTCAATCCCATAGGTAGGCAGATGGGTCAACACTCAGCACACAGCTGGATACAGGGTGGTGGGTGGGTTTTCCAAGCACCACGGTGTTTTGCAGCACAGAGGTGGTGAGTGTGCCACAGATGGGCTTCACRTGGAGCCCTGACCGTCAAAGACTGACCCAGGTGAGCAAAGGGCACCCTGCTTATTGGGGACCCTGAGAGACAGATTTCTGCACAGATGAAACACACAGAGACATAAACAGATGCATCACACGTGTGCAGGCATGTACATACACATATAYAAGAAAATGTTTGGACAATACAAGGAGATGATCCTGTGTGCTGGCTGCAAAGGGAATCACCAAGGCTCAGGGTACACATATAACAGCCCACTTTGCCACTGCTGTGATCTTGGTTCCTCTCTGTTATTTTTAAAAGGCACAGCATTAACCTAATTAATTTACTTTAATTGAAGAACAGTATTAGCTTAAATAGTTCTGCTTAAATTGTAGAGAAGCCGCAGCCAAGCTCTTCAAACAGCCGCTTGTCCCYGGTCACCCTCCTGCAGATGGTTAACACAGCTGAGCTGCACTCTGGCACAACGGCCCTGCTCTTCCTTCCGAAGGGAAACACCTGCATGTCCCCAAGCAAGATGGCTCAGGACAGAGAAGGGTCTCAGCTTAGGAGTCACAGGCTCTCCCACTGAGACAGAACCCAAATCTGGTGGGAAGCAGAACACTGGAGCCAGGAGTCCCAGCMAGGCAGTGGTTCTGAGGGATGCACACCAAGCTGACCGTGCTCACCAAGTGCTTTTCTCAGACCTCAGCTGGCATCCCTGCCTTCTCTGGCAGAGGAGAGAGTGCACGAGCTGCTTTGGAAGTCACAGAGGTGAAGAGTCCTGCACTGAGGGATGCCACAGGCAGCAACTGGGGGCACTGGCTACAGCAAGGAGTAATGCTCCAATGACCACAGCTTAGCTCTTGGCTCCCTGGTTTCCACTCATAGCTCCTGCAGTGGGCTTTGGGAAACCATTCCCACATGCCAAGGTCTGGCRTCCAGAGGAGGCCAACATCCTCACTCTCTTTGATCAGTTCCATTGGTAGCTACAGGGTTGACAAGTACCCTGTAAGTTCATTAATACCACTAACCTGCTTTCTTTCAGCAGCAGAGTTACTGCCATATCCCAGCTTCTCATCATGTTTCACCACAAAAACTGCCCTGTTTTGTCCTTAAACCAGAGACGATGGGAGGGCATTACTGAACCAAATCCAAACACATACTGGGGATCCAAACAACAGCCCYGGGGGCAGCAGCAGCAGCTCCATCYCCAGCTCCCCCTGGTCAAGGGGCTGGCTGTGTGCTGCCAAGCTCTGTGCCAGCTTCCCACTCTCCAGCAGCTGTACCTGGCTTCGGAGAGCTAGGTGCCCATACCTCCAGCCTAGGGGACACAAGGTCAATGCATCCCCCCCCATGAACATACAAAATAGGCTTCTAGCAAGCTTGGCCCAGCAGGAGCCTACAGCTGATCAGGGTTTGTGCTGTCATAGCCACCACCATGGTTTTGAACAGCATCTGAGGCTCCAAAGGTGGGTGTGCTGAGTGACCGGGCTGTGCTGGAAGAAGGACCCCAGAGAGGGGCATTCTGTAAGGGAGGCACAAGGGCAAAGGGCTTGGAGCAGCCAGCARGTCACCCTACAACCCTTGCAAAATTGGCCAAGGCCAACTAACAAGCTGCAGCTGACAGAGAAGGGAGGATTTCAAGATAAGAGAGATGGCAAGAAGCCTAGAGAAGATCAGAGCTTGGAGAGAAGAATGAAAAAGGCCTTCTGGGAATGAATCTAAGTAGGACTGTGAAGGGAATTTATGTAAATATCTCTCTGGAGGYCTTGGAAAAGGGGACATAGGTAACAGCCTTGTGAGATGCTGGTAAAGATAGGGAGTTAGGAGCGGGGGAGAGASAGGAATTAGCTCAARYAGATAGCAAAGGGTGGGGAATGCAYAATGCAAGTACCCGAGATGGAGTTTTTAGAGCAAGATCTAAAGGAAGGGGTAAACTAAAGCCAAACTATGGAGCAGGAGGAAAAAGTGCTCTGGCTGTAAACAAAACAGCTGTGGAGAATCTTGGGATACAGATGCAAGACTTCCTGATGTCAAAATTAGGACCATTTGGGTAGTTACCCACCCTGCAGTTTTGGGGGGCTGGAGACCTCCAGTCAGGTCACATTCAACCCCCAAGGAACAGGCAAGTCACTCAAAAGCCAAATCACCATCTTGGTGAGGGACAATGTACCATACCTAATGTACCATACCTCCAATGGAGCAGCTGCACCTGCAAAGAACCTGGCATTCATTTTGGAAAAGCTYTTTCATTTTCAAAGCCATTCACTTCCAAACACAGCCTCCTTGAACTGCAGAGTGCTTGGGACTGGCTGCACTGTATCACAGCTCTCTCTACTCCATCCCCTCCTATACCCCTGCCCTCAAACAGTCAGAAGATGACAAACACGAGACCCACCAGAGGTGTGACTATAGCAGCTGTTACACTTTATTTCATTGTGGATTTTTTTTTTTTTAATTATTTTTCCTTCTGATTGAAAAGACAGAAAAAAAGTTACAAAAGTAGTAAAAGGCAACAATATCGGCAGGACATCCCTGTTCCCTGCTCCCACCCRGGGCAAGGCAGCCTGCCCCACCTGTGGGCTGGCAGGAACACACCCCAGCACCTCGACAGCTCTTGCTGAGCAAAGCCTGAGGCTGCAGGGCCATGCAGGGGCTGCCACCCCAGCCCTTTGCACAAGGAATGTGCCTCCTAGATGGGTACCAGGCTATGGCTGTCCCCTCTCCTGAGCACAGGGATTTGGTCCAAAGGAGCAACGCTTCCTGTCTGCACTGGTCAGCTTGAGCTGRCAGCAGTTTAAAAGCTGAGGTGTGCCATCAAAACAAGATAAGCAGAATTTCTACAGGGGCAGGAGGAATCAGCAGAGGAATTAGGCTCTCTTGGGAAAAGGGCCTTGCAGGGAACCATGGTTGTCTGCCAGAGGTCCCTCATCAGTTAACACAAGTGACCTCTTGGAGGTGGTGCTGGTGCAGGGGGTGGCCCAGCWGTTACAGTTTGGAGCCAAAAAGCAGGCAGAGCTGGGACAGAYCAGGACTGACATCCCCTCACCACCCCGCCCTGCCTGAATGACAGGAGTTAGGGAGAGGAACATGGGGTGTGGGATTCAGGTCCTCAAGCCTACAGCCTCTGGACTTTCCCCAAGGGTCTCAGCAAAGAGCCCAGCCCAGTTCATTGAGTGGCCTCCTACCAGCAGCTGGACTGACCATKGGTCTCAACCACAGAGCAGCATTGAAGACCTCCACACTGAAGATTTTAAAAACCAAAAATTATTTTTGTGTTATTCACAGTTGCTCCTCTTGATCTGGACAAACAGCAAACTACTGCTTCCCCTTGCACTCAGATACAGAGTTATGGTAGGGAATACCTTCATGAAGAGGTTACTACTCTCTCCACCAGGCACAGCAAGAGGAAAGGCCTCATTTCTCTGCCTCAACAGGAGACGTGGGAATTTGTTCTATTACCTCCTGTCTTGTGGCACAAAACACACACATGCCTTGGGGAGAGATCCCAGTCAAACACCAGTGGTAGCAAGGCCTAGCAYGGTTCTAACAGCCTCAGAACTGTCTATGGAGAAATAACCCCCAACCTTCACCCAAACTCCCATTTCTTCCACCAACAGCCACAAAATCGACTGCTTCCCATTCCTTGCCTCATCTGGGAATACTGTTCCACTGATACCAGAAGAGTCTACCTGAATTTAACAGCTAGAATAAACAAGGGAAGTGGAAAGCTTGCTGGAGATATTAAATTGGGTTGAGTTTGGTGGTACCAGTTACCCCYACCATCATGTAGTGGGACAGTACTATGGAGAAGTGTTACACACMCCAGAACACAGACTGCCTCAGCAGAGATGAGACCCACGAGCATACAGTCACCCCCAAATGAATTTTAGACTTTCATTCTAAACCCTGATCTACATATGGATGTCTCACATCTCCCATTTCAATCTCTTTTTGGACAGTAACACGGAACTCCCAGCAGATCATCTGGAATGCACAGTTAGCTGTGCCAGTTATCCATCCACACACCTTCCTGTCCKAGGGTTTTCCACTTAAGAGAGCTTGATGTGAATGCAATTATAACAAATCTCTGAGAGGGATCTTCTTTTTTCACAAGCAGCTCTGTATAGACTATTTCATCAATCCTGAGGTCACTTCTGAGTGGAAGAAGTGTCAGGTCTATAGCAAAACACTGTAGACCCAGGTATCCTCGGGAAATTGAATGGAGTTGGTTTCACACCTTGATCACTCATCATAATAACTCCTGCACGCCTCATGGATTTCCTCAATTACCACCATCCTCATGTCTGACACTGCCTTGGTGGCAGTTCTTGCAGTTTGTGAACCTGACTGGTTTACTTTGCCCTGAAAGACAAAACTCACTCCCTCTGCCACTGCTCAGATACATCAGTGGCATGAGAACAGGTGCTGCTGCTGCTGCAAAGCCATTTGCTTCCTCCTGCCCGAGTGGCTGCACTGCAAAGATGTGTCATTGGCCCCTTCTTCTCCCACCCCTCCCCTTGGCTATCACCACCTCCCTTCTCCCTGCCAGGCAGGACATTGGTTGATAGTTCCTGAGGTTTTTTTTGGAGAAACTCCTTCAGTAGGCACACGACGGTTCTTCCACTGGAGCTATCGGGCTCAGCGGCTTCAAGGTGCTGAGGGAACGGAAGGCAAAAGTGGAGGGATCGTACATAAAGTGGGGCGGCGGGCGGCCTCCGTTGATGCTCTGCAGARGAATAAGAAGAGTTCATAAAAATTAAGTCAATGCTCATATAAACTGCAAACAGTGAAGTTCTTGCCTTGAGAACTTTGTCACACCCATCTCTGATACAATTATCCCTCCTTGAATGAGTGGTCACACTTGCACTTGCAGCAAATGGCACTAAACATAAGCAGTGGAAGCACTTTGCTCASGTCCTTGCTCCTACCCTGCAAGAAAAAAAGCAGGCACACCCCCCTCCTCCAGGACTGAGGTCCCTAGGATGCACAGGACTTGGACCCACGGTACCTGTAGCCTCTAAGTGAAATAGGATATCCATTATGCATTTAGAATACCAGAGTCAGAATAGCATCGCTACCAAAAGGCATCACATGGAAAAGCMAAATTCACTTGGCCTTGAAGTAAGATCTAATCACTTTTAGAGCACGGAGACAAACCAAGTCATCTCTGAAGACTCATTCTTCAGCCCCATTTTTCAACAACTCTCCAATAAGAATTTGCAAACCACCCTTCCTTAAAGTCCCAGGAATGCTAAAACTCTCCAGGGTTTTTGTTCCAGACCTCACAGGAACTTTCCAGTATCTGAAGGGCATCTCCAGGGAAGCCAAAGAGGGACTCTTCCTCAGCAATYGTATTGACAGGACAAGGAGTTATGGGTACAAATTGAAAGAGGTGAAATTTAGTCTYGATATTAGGATGAAATTCTTTACTGTGAGGGTGGTGAGACACYRGRACAGGWTGCCCAAGGAGGCTGTGGAAGCCCCATCCCTGGCAGTGTTYAAATCCASGCTGGAYAAGGCMTTGAGCAGYCTGGTCTAAAGGGAGGTGTCCCTGCYCATGGCAGGSRRTRTTGGGACTGGATGATCTTTAAKGTCCTCTCCAACCCTTAACATTCTGTCTGATTCAGACTGGGCTCTGGTGTTACATGACTCCCTGTTTGYTTTCTAAGCCTTTCTTAACTAGAASCATGGTTTCCTTGGCTCAGCCTGCACTGTGGGACTGTTCCCCATAGAATTAGGCTTTTTAGGAACAACAACCAATGCTACTGTCTCAAAGAAAGCAAAAGTTTATTTTAGCACTTCAAAATCAGGTCTATCAGACAGCTGCAACYACATGGCAGCACAGCAAGGTGATGTTTTAATGACTCCACCTCTACTCTGCCTGGGTTTTGTCATTATAGGACCAGCACACACACAAATATTCTCAAAAAGCTGCTCAAATGGTTTGTCTCACCCAAGCAGACAAAGCAAGTTAGAGTGAGCTAAGGAAGTGCCCAAGCCAGGCCCTGGGTGCTGCAGTAACTGCAGTAGGACCTGGAAGCCTCTGTCTCCAGGCTCTTGGTCACAGCTCAGCCTCTAGGGACAGCAGCCTTCATGTCAGGGAAGACCTCTAAGAGCCAGTGTGGGCAGCGTGTTCCTGCCTAGTTGGTATCCCTTCTGCAAATTAAGATGGGCACTTGAGAATGGAAAATGCCAACATGGTGCTTGGCATCAGCTGTGCCTGGAGCTTGAGCCAGCGAATCATGCCCTGCTACATCCCCTGACACCTTGGCCAGCAGCACAAGAAACAAGAGAGGCAGATTTAAGGGCCTTTACTCAATAGCCACCTGCTGTGGGGTTATATATGGTGTATGCTCTGGCAGGCCTCAGAGCTGCAGGGTAACGTAGCAACCCCTATTCAAAGCTAAGGGGCAGAATAAATCAGCACATTTGTCCTTCTACAGARCAGAGAAGGTCCCCTGCCAGTGCCAAGAGGGAATGGGAACAAAGAATCTGGCAGTCCCCTCCATTTTGAAATGCCAGACAGGATTAGGGAAGGCAGCTGAATCAGTTCATTTTTGGCAGATGAGAGATGAACAGGCTGGGGAAAGATGGGTCCAAACAACAGACAAAAGTCATTTACAGAACTCACCAGGCTTTGAGTGGGAAGGTGCCCTGTGTTTTCTCCCTGGGCCTTCTTCTGGGGCCAATGTGTGGGGCAGAGAGCCTTCCCAGGAAGAGAAGAGAGCACTGCCAGGAAGAYGGGCACAGAAGGAGGGCTGAGCTGAAGGCCAGAAGACCTTCTGTGTGAGAAGACGCAGGAGGATGCAGAGATTCACAGGTGGCCAGGCAGCTGCAAGTGAGACTCAAAATGCACCCCAAATCCTGCCTCTTCATCATGGCAGCCCCAAGATGACCATTGGCTCTCAGTAACAGCAGACAAGGGCAGAGTGAGAAGGGGCCTGTGCTCAGCTGCAGGCAGTAACAGGAGAGGCAGTAACCTGAGTATCCTCATTCATAGCAACACCCTGAACTACCTAACCCCGAGCAATACAGGACCCCCATGACTGAGAGGGAAGCTCCTCTGCTACGGACCTTGCTGGAGCTAAAAAACCTCCAAATCCGTCAGCTTTCTTCTTGCAGAGGAGCATTTTTAGACTGGAGCTCATATCCAGCTCTAGGGATGACCAGGTCTGATCTGGCTTAGTCCAAGACACCATTTGGGATCACAGCATGTGGTGGTCTGGTCCTGATGAGCAGCACAAGGCAAAGCCCTGTAGATGTATTTCCAGAAAGAAAGCAGCTAGAGCCAGCTGCCAGAGAGGGGAACAYGTTCCTGCCACCCTATCGCTTGGGCCAGCTGCCACCCTGTAGTCTGGGCAAGCGTCCAGCCAGCCTGCCCTTCTCCTTGGGCACACCATGCCTGGGACTTTGCTTCGACTAGGGAGTCAACAACTAGAGTTGTTGCTGCAGCAGGTCCYCAGGGAGTTTGCCATAAACCTGCCTGACAGCCCCCGGTGAGCAACCCCAGGCCAGCTCCTGCAGAGGCTCCTCAGAGCGCAAACAATACGCACTTGACATTAAAGGCTCATGTGTTCACTCTAATGGCATTCGGACAGCTGGGTACCGCGCACAGAACGGAGCCTAATATGGGCCCTGTGCTAATGGGAATCATTAACCAGAGCCCTCAATTTGCTAAGCAATGTATTTACACAGCTGGAGAACAGTCCAAGTCAGGCTCACTCAGCTGCCGGCAGGAGAGCACACGGGCTGACACGCACACGCTGGCACACACACGTGCTCATGTGCACACACTCACCTGCCCCCACATGCCTCAGGCTCTCCCCAGTACACATGTGCTTCCCTGGTCACTTGGCCATGTCCCTCTGTGCACATGCAGACCTCCACCTGACTGGGAATCACAAGGAGAGTGTTCCACTCACACAAATCTTGCTTGCTCGTAAAGTAACTGAAGCCATGTGGGGCCGAAAGTTTGCAGCATCCAGGGGATGGTCCAAAGCACCACAGCTCATCACCTGCTCATACAACTGCTCAGAACCTGAAGGCACCCACACTGCCCCAYTGCACACCTTRTTTGAGTTAGATGAGCTCCTAAGASAGGTAAACWTATCTTACACTCGTTTCAAGCAATTATGGACAGACCACCTTAGTCAAGGATGCCTCTTCACCCATGTCCATGTGCCTACACGTACACTCTTGCCAACATGCACTGTTCTCACCAACAGCATTGTCACCTTCATATACAGGGGGCAAATAACCAACCAGGTTTGAAATATATCTGAAGTGCATCAACAAAGAAGCACACTTAAAAGATAGTGAGTTGAGGGAGGTGCCTCAAAGAAGGTCAGTAAGATTAAATACCACAGAAGAAATGCAGGATTTCAATTATATTAGCAACTCTCAGAAAACAGAGAAATGCACTTCTGTTTCATGAACTCATGTGCAACAAGTACATAGGAAGAAGATATACATGTAAAGCTACATTTATTAATATGAAGCCACATTAGTCCTAGAAACTAGTCTCTTACATCTATGAAGTCTAGGAAAGCATGCCAAATACAGATTATAATATAATTTTGGTCTCTCACAGAATCACAGTTTTGCTCATTGGACAAAGCGAAAGTGAGCATAGGTCCAAGTGAGTTTTCAGCTGTGAGAATGACAATCCCCACAGAAGGGGGGAAATGCAGTTACCCAATACAACAATGTCTTCGAAGGGAGCGGTGTGCTAGAAGTGATGGAAAATTAAGATGACTCTTTGGTCCTCTTTCTTAGGAAAAAGCATCCTGGCTGGATTCAAAATCAGATTAGCTTGTGCACTTTGCCAACCCATTCCTACTCAAGGCCAATCCAGCACTGGAGTCCCTCCTTTCCTACTCTTGGGCCCCACTGGCTGGGAAACCCTGCTGAGCTCTGTTTAAAGGACGCTGCCTTCCAGTGGTGGGTGAATGATCCCTTCACAATCCGTAGACTCATTTTGTTAAGTCCTTTGGGATGAAAGGCACCACGTAATTGCAAGTTGTAAAGGTGCATCTGATTCCCACCACCACCCTGTGTAGAAAGGAATAAATCCCCAGAAGAGGCTTGGCAAGGACAAATGCCACATGAGATGCTGCCTGTTTGTGAGACAGCCTCCTCACCCACGACTGGGGAGAGCCAGAAATAGCACCCATACTCAGGCAGGGCACAAAGAGTGAAAGCTGTCAGACTCCCTAGTGGAACATTTACAGGTACACTGATTTAATTCCACTCTGTCCTCTTTCCTCTCATCCCTGCTAAGAGTTAGAAAATARATTTCTTCACACTTCAGCTTTGAGGTGTGAAGCATCAGCTGCGAGAAAGGGAACCCACATGTCTGCTCCTAATCACATCTGTAATTCCAAACATGGCCACCTCCCATCATCTCTGCCTCAGTTTCTCCAATGCATAATACACACATGTCCTGGTTTCCATTGGGATAAAATTAATTTTCTTCCTAGTAGCTGGTGTATCCTGTGGTTTAGATTTAGGATGAGAATAATGGTGGCAGCAATAACGAAAAATATCAATCCGTTAAGCAGTATTAAGTTAAGAACTTCTCAACTTCTCGTGCCCTGACAGCGACAAGGCTTGGAAGGGCATGAGTGGCAGGGAAGCAAAGAGGCAGGACTTCTGACCCAAACTGGACAAAGGACTATTCCATACCATATGATGGCACAGGCTGATGTTTTGCCTTCTCAAGTAACC